TGCACTCCAAACACTGGGAATTGTCCTGCTTAGAATATTCATAATAGTTTCCCTGGTTCATTGCATTCTTTCAAAAGCTTTAAATGAATGTTTGCAGCTCTAGCCACCAAGTGAATGATTTCTTTAAGACTGGAATGTCAGAAAAAGAATTGAGAGGATGACTGACTCAAAATTGTGAACCTAAAGTTGTAACCTGTGACTATCAGAGAGATTAAGCACAAATATGATGACTTGTAGTACCATGCAGGGGATCAACAAAAGCTGTAAGAATTACAAAGTGGTAGCTGAGAGTGGCAATAATGCCTTAAATTTTGATCACATCTCTCATTTAAGATGAAAGAATGATCACAAGGGAAGAACTGTTGCAAAGAAAACCACAGGCCCCAAATGGAGTCACTTAGAGCCCCACATCAGCAAACTGAGACTTAATACTTATACCTAACTGCAGTTTCAAACCCCCAAGAAGGTATCTACACTCTCTACTTTAACTCCCACTCAGAACCTGTAGGTAGGATCCTGGAAAAACTGACAGAAATGAGCCAACAGCCTTCTCCTCTAAGCTAAACATATCCAAAGGGAAAGAAAACAATTCCAACATAGGTGGATAGGTATGTCAGTCCTTTTACACCCATACAGTGACCCAATTCTCTGAGGGGTTAAAAGAACTCTTTTAATTATCTTACAAATCTTTACAAAACTAGAAATGTGGCTCTAAAGGCAATTCAAAGTTCACCTATTCCTTTTACCAATTCCCAAATCTCCCCTATTTATCTCACAAGGCTTGTAAATTATTGGCCTTAGGAAACCAAAGTTCTTCTAGGAGGAACTTGCATTCTTTCTTTATGTATTTGAAGTAAAAATATTACAAGTATAAACTTCAGGATGGTAATTCTTATCAGAAGTAGAAGAAAAGGAGGAAAGGTCATTTGAAACTTAGACAATTAAAAAATCATGAGATTTCTCCACAAATGTTAGAAAAACCTTGAGCTGCCTGAGAAGGTAAACCTTAAATTACTCCACCTGTCAGAAAATCAGTTTGGATCTAACTGTTCTTTGATAAATTAGGGAGTTTTGTTGTATCATACATATCTCATTGCTAAAAATTTTAAAACAATACGGTCTCTGTTTATATATTTGTGTGTCTATTGTGGATATGTCGCATTTTCTACCTCTGGATGGTATCGCTAAAATTAATTTGTAAAGAGCTCTATTTCATTGGATTAAAAGTAAGTGCATATAAATTATTCCTAAATCTTAAAAATGTAACAAAAACTAACCCAAATGTTTTCCAACTTCATGTGATCTAGGATACTTTTTGCTAAATAAAAGTAGTCCAAGTTTGTTGGTTTAATTAACACAGACATGTCTTAGAGTTATAAACATTGAATATAATATAGACACACAACTCTTTATTCTACCTGGGTTTACTAGTCAAATAAGTTCACATTATCTCTTGTTGCAAACTATGTCAGCAAAAGATAATTTAGAATGATGGCTGACTTTGTTTAGTGACTGTCTCATGCATAATAAGAGATTATGAAGAGTTTTTCTTTGCCCCTAATCTGCCTAGAAAACAAAAATTGTGTATTTTATCAAAATAATGTCATGTACTTCATGTTGTTTCAATCAGGTCTTTGATCAGTTAAGAAAATCAAACTTTCTCAAGATTAAAAGTTTTCCCTTTTCATGGCCATTTAATTTTCTGTATTTGTCTGCAAATTCTTTTGTTACCATGATTAAATGGATAACTAAGTATTGTTTCACAGTAATGTATGATTGTATTTGACCAAATGTTTTAAAACCTTTCTGATATTTTTGACAAACTTCCTAAAAATTAAATTCTAAATAAAGTCTTTTTGACTTCAAACTATCTTTAGGTTTTTCTAGAGGGCCCCTGGAACATTTCAAAGGATTTAGTCTCTCTCCTTATAAATCACTTATGAGCGTGGATGTTAAACTAATTAGGTTATTTGATATGCTAAACTATATGGGAAGTATTGTCAAATAAGAATACTAAGCCTTCTTTATGCTGTGTTTGTATCAATGTTCCAGAAATTACATAAAATTTCTGGAAATCTGATATGTCCTAATATAATGTTAACATTTGTAATTCTAGTTAGCATCTTAAAACATATGTCACAAATTTCCTTATCAATTGCATTATAATGAACTTTGATCAGATCTTACCATGGCCAATTTTAAGTTTTTTTGTCATTTACAGAGTTATTGTTTTCCTCAAATGCTTTTACAAAAGCTTCTTGCATACGTGTTTCATCTTCAGAGAAATTTATGGAAAGATGACAAGTACTCTAAACACAGATTTCTGGTCACTTTCAGATTATAAAACTGAACTAGGTATTGAATTTCCAAAGCTACTGGGAAAACTGGATTCAAAAACAGCAAAAATTAGTAAATGCGACTAAATTAACTGAGGAGGATGACTATATTTTTTATGACTTGCTTAAGACATTGATGATTCTCTAATGTTTTGCTCTTTGGATTTTATGGAACCTTATTCTCTTTTCTCTTAAGCTATCAACAATTTGGTAAGATATATCTTTGTGAACAAAATGAAATACTTAAATTTTCTTCCTACCCAATCCCTCCAGAATTAAAACACTTTTGAGTATTCTTTTCACAGCAAAATAGTTACTTATTTATATAAATTCAATGAAAATCTGTTCCCCTTAGAACAGGATACTTGGAAACATAGGTTATATTACCAAAGCTTTGACTGGAATATCATATTTGAGAGAGTTGTACAGAGACTCAGATATAACAAAGACAGTTTTAAGGAACTAAAGTTGCTTTTACAGACACCTGACATCTGTCCTATAAAAATGATGGAGGCTTCCAAATCAAATTGACTAGGAAGGGAAGTAGCTGACATTGAGGTAGACTGCTTCCTTCCAAGACACTGGATCAAGACTTCATATTTTAACACAAAACCCTTTTTTCTTCCCTTTCTTTCCTTTACTCTGACACTGGCCTGGAAAGATAACACCATCATCCAAATCTCTGAGATTATTGCTAAGAGAGGGGTGGGTAAACTTTGCCTTTCATACTTCTGGATTTGTCATAAAAAGTTTCTATCTATTCATGAACAGTACCACCTTAGTAGTGGAAGTGGTTTGTACTCCAACAGGATTTATCTTTGTGGTGGTTATCATTCTCCTTGGGGCTATGAATGCCTAGATAGCTGGCACACAGCTGGGCAATGCCTGTTAGGTCATCTAACTATACCCCTAAATTTTCACAATTTTCACATCTCATTGGTTGATCCCCCTGAATTTACACCCTTGGGTTACAAAAGACCTACCACGATGAATTCAAACTGAGACTTAATACTTATACCTAACTGCAGATTCACCTCCTTTGGCAGGGACATACTTCCCTGGTTAGGAATAAATATAAATAAGAATATGATCAGAAACCTTTCCTTAACTTCGAAGATATTGTAGAATCTGTTGCTAAGATAACAGCTGCTTGCTCTAAAGATGCTTTGTGCCTTTCTGTACAAAGTTATTCTCGATAATAGGCTAGCCCCAGATTATCTTTTAGCCAAGTAAGAAGGTGTCTGTGCGGTGGCCAACACCATCTGCTGCACCTGGGTTAATACGTCTAGGGAAACAGAATCTCAATTATTAAGATCACTTAACAAACCCACTGACTTCTTCAGTGGGTCTGTCTTTGACTTGATTTTGATTGGTTTGGGTTTTGGAGACCATGGCTCCAAAGTGCACTCCAAACACTGGGAATTGTCCTGCTTAGAATATTCATAATAGTTTCCCTGGTTCATTGCATTCTTTCAAAAGCTTTAAATGAATGTTTGCAGCTCTAGCCACCAAGTGAATGATTTCTTTAAGACTGGAATGTCAGAAAAAGAATTGAGAGGATGACTGACTCAAAATTGTGAACCTAAAGTTGTAACCTGTGACTATCAGAGAGATTAAGCACAAATATGATGACTTGTAGTACCATGCAGGGGATCAACAAAAGCTGTAAGAATTACAAAGTGGTAGCTGAGAGTGGCAATAATGCCTTAAATTTTGATCACATCTCTCAGTTAAGATGAAAGAATGATCACAAGGGAAGAACTGTTGCAAAGAAAACCACAGGCCCCAAATGGAGTCACTTAGAGCCCCACATCAGCAAACTGAGACTTAATACTTATACCTAACTGCAGTTTCAAACCCCCAAGAAGGTACCCTCTAACCAGTCAACATGGGATTTCCTGGTCAGCATTAAAAATTTACTCATAGGCCCCTTCCATTCCCCTTAGGAGGGAAACCTTGCCTAAAACAATGTATCCTTTGCCAGTAATTTCCTTTTTTCCACTTCCTGTCTGCCTTTAAAAACTTTTCCTTTTCTACAGCTTGACAGAGCACCTTTGTTTGCAAAATGAGATGCTGCCTGATTGATGAATTGTTCAATAAAGCTAACTGGATCTTTTAAATTACTTAGTTGAATTTTTGTTCTCTAATGTTAAATATATATACTGCATTTTATTTATCCATTCCACTGTAGATGGGCATTTGGATTGCTTCCACCTCTTGGCTACTGTGAATAGCGCTGCTATGAACATGGGTGGGGACAATCATTTTGCGCTTCAGTTCTCTCTCCAATTCTCTAGGCAGCAAGTTTTTTACCACTTTTCACTTCTGAATTCCATCTTCTGTCTCCTTCATGCCCAGCAGATAGCCTTGCCTTTTACTTCCTAGAGAAAACTGAGGTTAGCTCTGCTCCTTACCTACAAACTTAGCTACATCTACATGCATCTTTATTCAGAGCAAGAGTGAAGTTCTGCTCTAGCAGTTACCACCTTGGGCTACTCTCATTCTGACTCTGTGCCAGACCTAGATGGTGAGCCACCTGAGGTCCCACATCTTACATTCTCCATCACAGCATCCAATATGTAGTAAAAATGTTACTGGTTTTAACTTCAGCATAAAAATGGAGGCCCCATCGGTGGTCTCTCTCAGATGGACTGACATACATACCAGTTCTTGGGACTCTTTCAAGCTCAGCGCTCCCACATGAATTACTATCTGATCCAACCTGCAAAAAAGAAAACACTGTTGTACCGCTTGAAGTTCACAGTAACATAGAAGGGCTGCACTCTCCTGGCTTGTGCTGGTTTTAGCAATTAGCTAATGGCTCATTAATTTCAGTCTCAACACTATTAAATTCTATAGTGGTCTATTGAAAATAAAGCTAATTAGGGATTTAAAAAATGTCCAGGGAATAAAATTTAAGGCTCAACCAAACAGAATTTTGAAACTAATCACTGATTAATCAATACTTGAAGACTTATTTTGATGAAGCATTGTCCTAGATGCTGTACTTGATGATGACATGCACATGAAGATAGTGTAAAACAGAGACATTTTTGGTTGGATTTAAAAATAGAGGTTCCTCAAAGAGTATAACCGGGAACCAACCATCTGAAAAATGATTTCATTGTAAAAAGCTTTTTCCTATTTTGTAAGTCCTCAGAATTTGTCCATAAAAGAGGTTTTCTCTGAGACCCCATGGTTCATCTCTGGAGAAGCTCCATGTGGCCCTGTGGGGAGAGGCACAGTTAGAGGGTGTTCTCTGGGCAGGATTAATAAAACTCGGCTGTGAACTCAGTCATTCCAAGCAGTCTTCTGAGGGACTCGCATGTGCCATCCTCAGGGGAGGGAGACGCCATACTCTTGTTTAGGCCCAATCACTGAGTCCTCCGAGATTCTTGGTTAGTTGTATCTAAGGTAAAATGGGACCTGACTGTGAAGTGATTTGATCAGGTTTGCATTTTTAAAGGATTATAGAAGACTTCTGAGAGTCTTCTCAGAAGTAAGAGAGGCTGAACAGGCCTATTCTACAAGCAACTTTACTGCATGACCTCCTTAAACCTTGTACTACCCCTTTTCCTTCGCTTAGGTTAAAACAATCACCCATTCCCTCCTCCACCCTGCTGCTAAGTGCTGCTAGAGAAAACCGCCCTACAACTTTAATACAAACTTGTAGTTTCCCAGTTCAGGAGACTGAGGCTCCGAAGAGCCTTCTGGTATAATACTTCCCTTTCCAATTCCCTGTGGTGGCTTTTCCCAATCTTGACTATTTTCCTCAAGTCCTAAATTCTACTCCAGCTCCTTGTTCTTGGCAGATGTCCTCACTTGCTAGATGCCAAAGAAAAAGACACTTTCACATACAGACTCCCTTCCTTTCCTCCCAGCTTGATACTTAGCTACATCACCATCTACGCTTCCTCCCAGCTTCTTAGCTGTCTTTAAAGTTACTCTACCTACTTTCCGTTTTATTTCAACCTCCTGCTAAGATCTTCCATCAAAGTCGGTTTTCTGCGCCTTTTTGGTCTCTTCACCCATGGTGGCGTCCTTGTAGCACAGAAACTGCTCAAGACTTCCCCACTCCAAGAAAAAGAAACTACCTTTCTTTTAATCTTGCTTCCCCCTCCCTAATCTCCTACTCTCTCTCTCCTTCCCAGCACCAGAAAAACTTCCGGGATAAGCTCTGCCTGCCCCCCACCTTCATGCATCTGCTGCACGCTCCAGCTCACTGCAGTCAGCTGCGGCCACAGTAACGTGACTGGCTCTGCTGTCTCTGAGGTCCTCGGTCACTTCCTACACGTCAGACCAAGTGGTCTTCTCAGTCCTCTAACTATTGACTTTCATAGTATCTAATAATTATTATAAAAAATGTGATAACACAGCATTCACTGTAAATAATTACAATGAATTCTCATATAATAGTTACATGCCAAGCACTGTCTGAATGCTCACCACCACTGTAAGGATGGTTTCTATCATTCCTATTTCACAGATGAAGCACAGGGTGGTCAGGTGACATGCCTGAGTTCCACAGAGCTAGTATGAGACAGAGCCAGGGCCCCAGCTCAGGCAGCCTGGCTCTGCAGTCCCTGCTCTTAGTTACCATGCGACTCAGCTCTCTGTGAAGCCATTCTTTCTTCAGGGACGGGATTCACTCCTGACTTTCACTCTACCTGTCTGAGAGCTTTCTGTTTCTGTCCAGTTCACTATTCCCCTGTTTCTGGTGCTTCTCTTAATAGTCTTCTTTTCTCTCTCTGCCCATATTTTTTAATCTTTCTGGGCCCAGAATCTGACTGCAAGTCAAATGAAAGTCAGAGGAAAGGACTCCCGTGGCGGTCATGGGCTTTGCACTGACAGCCACCACTCCAGGTCCGCTTGGGACTCACCTGTGATCTCTGCCTCCACTTAAGGCAACGTCAATCACTCCCTTCTCTGAGCCCTGTTTACACTATTTATCAGAAGAATCAGAGCATTAGTTTTCATGATCTGACACTTCCACTGGATGGTAAGCAACCTGAGGGCAGAGACGCTGGTTTACATTCCCTGTGCCAGCATAACACATAACAACATAATAGATAATGAATAAAACTTGTTTAACTGAATGTGCTTATTGAATTGGGGCTGTCCTATTTGTCTTACTGCGGCATGAATTGAGCATTATAACAAAATTATCACTACACTGAAGTTTGGAGGATGTATAGAGTTCCCTGAGACTCTTAGAGGAAGCGCCATGAAGAGCACGCAGTCATACCTGCACAGAGAAGGCCTGTAAGAAAGCAGTGCCTCCGGGAGCATCAGACACCCACCCTGACAGGGGAAGAGGAGTGCATTGTTCTGCGGCAGAGCCAGGAGTGCAACAGAGCCAGTCACTAGCACATTCCACTCTTATCCCCTCAGCCCAAAGACAGGTAACCCGGAGGGGATGGCTTTATGGATAGATAAGAGGCAGTCTCCAGCGCGTGCGTGTGGTGGGGTGGGCAGAACACCTGTGGGAGCCAGGTGTGCCTTGCAGTCTGCCTGCCTGTCCGCACAGAGAGAAAGGGTGCTCCTCTGCCTCAGTTCCTCGTGGAAGTGCCAGGATCCTTGGGTCCCTGCTCATGTTCCCACAAGCTGGCCTTGGGCCTGGCCTCTGATCAGAAGCCTGTGTCATCCAGAAACCTCATTCTATACAGCTCTTGCTAATGAGTGTTTTTACCTGGGTGGGGCCACTCACTTGTTCTTCCCCTTTGTCACCCACTCCTCTGCGACCTGGCGGCGCTCTGAGACGCTCAGGGACAGGCCCTCTCCCGTTGTGCCATTCACTGTTCCAAACAAAGAGTCAGTCAGTGGGACCAACCAACAGCTTTCACTCCTCCAGTGCCAACATTGCAAGTGCAGGGTCAGAAATACCTGCTTAGGAGGAAAGGACATGGAGAAACATCGGAGGATAGAAGCTGGGAGGGGAAATGCCATGTCTGCATGTTTACCTCAGGCTTAGTCCTTTTTCCATCTTCACCTGAAATCAGCAGCAAGGTTCATTATGACTTGTAATTATAAATCTGTCCTTGCAATAGGGACAGACAGTAAGTTTTTGAATGGAGACAGAGATAACTCCCCATGTTTTAGGCAAATCTCCAAATGTACTATATTGTTCTATATTTGGGCTGAATGGCAGGAAAATCAATCCCACCCAGTACTGGGATGTTAAGGAGGTCCTAAGGGGGAGCTCCTTAGGGGACAGTGGTGTATACTGAGCTCAAAAACAACCTCTGTCTATAGTTTGACATACATGATGGTAGAGCTTTAGGATAACTCATTTCCTTAATAGTTAATTTATTAAAAAAACCCACTAGGGATATTAGTATTTCTTGAAGCAATTGCTCTTATATATTCACTTATTCTTATAACAACCCAGTGAAGTATGAATAATTCTTCTCATTTACAGGTGAAAATAAGAGGTTGTGAATCACTAAATAATCTAAGTTTCAACCAGATTGGTATGTTTTCAAAATTCCCCATTCTGCTACCATCATCTCTTGAAATGATCCAATGGCATTAGGATTTACATTACTGAGGCCTGTTATCATTCCTATTTCACAGATGAAGCACAGGGTGGTCAGGTGACATGCCTGAGTTCCACAGAGCTAGTATGAGACAGAGCCAGGGCCCCAGCTCAGGCAGCCTGGCTCTGCAGTCCCTGCTCTTAGTTACCATGCAACTCAGCTCTCTGTGAAGCCATTCTTTCTTCAGGGATGGGATTCACTCCTGACTTTCACTCTACCTGTCTGAGAGCTTTCTGTTTCTGTCCAGTTCACTATTCCCCTGTTTCTGGTGCTTCTCTTAATAGTCTTCTTTTCTCTCTCTGCCCATAGTTTTTAATCTTTCTGGGCCCAGAATCTGACTGCAAGTCAAATGAAAGTCAGAGGAGAGGACTCCCGTGGCGGTCATGGGCTTTGCACTGACAGCCACCACTCCAGGACCGCTTGGGACTCACCTGTGATCTCTGCCTCCACTTAAGGCAACGTCAATCACTCCCTTCTCTGAGCCCTGTTTACACTATTTATCAGAAGAATCAGAGCATTAGTTTTCATGATCTGACACTTCCACTGGATGGTAAGCAACCTGAGGGCAGAGACGCTGGTTTACATTCCCTGTGCCAGCATAACACATAACAACATAATAGATAATGAATAAAACTTGTTTAACTGAATGTGCTTATTGAATTGGGGCTGTCCTATTTGTCTTACTGCGGCATGAATTGAGCATTATAACAAAATTATCACTACACTGAAGTTTGGAGGATGTATAGAGTTCCCTGAGACTCTTAGAGGAAGCGCCATGAAGAGCACGCAGTCATACCTGCACAGAGAAGGCCTGTAAGAAAGCAGTGCCTCCGGGAGCATCAGACACCCACCCTGACGGGGGAAAAAGAGTGCATTGTTCTGCGGCAGAGCCAGGAGTGCAACAGAGCCAGTCACTAGCACATTCCACTCTTATCCCCTCAGCCCAAAGACAGGTAACCCGGAGGGGATGGCTTTATGGATAGATAAGAGGCAGTCCCCAGCGCGTGCGTGTGGCAGGGTGGGCAGAACACCTGTGGGAGCCAGGTGTGCCTTGCAGTCTGCCTGCCTGTCCGCACAGAGAGAAAGGGTGCTCCTCTGCCTCAGTTCCTCGTGGAAGTGCCAGGATCCTTGGGTCCCTGCTCATGTTCCCACAAGCTGGCCTTGGGCCTGGCCTCTGACCAGAAGCCTGTGTCATCCAGAAACCTCATTCTATACAGCTCTTGCTAATGAGTGTTTTTACCTGGGTGGGGCCACTCACTTGTTCTTCCCCTTTGTCACCCACTCCTCTGCGACCTGGCGGCGCTCTGAGACGCTCAGGGACAGGCCCTCTCCCGTTGTGCCATTCACTGTTCCAAACAAAGAGTCAGTCAGTGGGACCAACCAACAGCTTTCACTCCTCCAGTGCCAACATTGCAAGTGCAGGGTCAGAAATACCTGCTTAGGAGGAAAGGACATGGAGAAACATCGGAGGATAGAAGCTGGGAGGGGAAATGCCATGTCTGCATGTTTACCTCAGGCTTAGTCCTTTTTCCATCTTCACCTGAAATCAGCAGCAAGGTTCATTATGACTTGTAATTATAAATCTGTCCTTGCAATAGGGACAGACAGTAAGTTTTTGAATGGAGACAGAGATAACTCCCCATGTTTTAGGCAAATCTCCAAATGTACTATATTGTTCTATATTTGGGCTGAATGGCAGGAAAATCAATCCCACCCAGTACTGGGATGTTAAGGAGGTCCTAAGGGGGAGCTCCTTAGGGGACAGTGGTGTATACTGAGCTCAAAAACAACCTCTGTCTATAGTTTGACATACATGATGGTAGAGCTTTAGGATAACTCATTTCCTTAATAGTTAATTTATAAAAAAAACCCACCAGGGATATTAGTATTTCTTGAAGCAATTGCTCTTATATATTCACTTATTCTTATAACAACCCAGTGAAGTATGAATAATTCTTCTCATTTACAGGTGAAAATAAGAGGTTGTGAATCACTAAATAATCTAAGTTTCAACCAGATTGGTATGTTTTCAAAATTCCCCATTCTGCTACCATCATCTCTTGAAATGATCCAATGGCATTAGGATTTACATTACTGAGGCCTGGTGCATGTGGCAGCACTTTGAATCTCCAGACACTGAGCGTTCAGTTGGGGTAGAGGAGGAGGGTGGGAGGTGAGGAGGAATAGGAAAGACTGTTCTTATCACTCCTTTGGGATCTCGAGACACTTCAAGTATGCCGGGTAGTAGGGATGTTCCTGCTTCTTCCCTATGCCCAGGGGAGGTCCATGGCCCTTGGAGGAGTAAGAATCTGTCTCCTTTACTATGACTTGGGCTGTAGGGGGACACCAAATGGTTTTATGACCAGGTTTTGGTTTTGACATGTGGCCTGGACACCTTTTCACAGAAGTTTTAACCTGCTTAGATTATGACAATTGCGCTTCCAGTTGTGGAGGGGCCCCTGGTGGTAGGGCAGTAGCTCAGGGCCAAGGAACAGTGTCCTCAGAATGACAATCAAATTGTTAGGCAGTAAAATAGATATAAACGGGTAGAAAGAGAATAAGGTCAGTAAAGCCCCCTAGAAAGGACTCAGTTAACCAGTTAAAACTAGAAGGCCAGTAAAGTCTCAGTTAATGAGTAAATCAGTTAAAGCTCAAACGGTCAGGAGCAGCTTGGTCTTGAATGTTTGAATATTCCCCAGATAAAGAGAAGTATCTGAGCACAGCAGCCTGTCTTCATTGTGCCATTTTAAGATTTACTTTAGTCTGCTAAAAGGCCCAAATATAAACAGCATAATAATGACAGGGAGATCCCACCTTAAAGCCAAAATTGCATTTTGAAAAAACCCAGGAAGTTAAGAAGTAAGATTCTTAACATACTCTTTAGCAAACAAATAACTCTATCCACCGTGGAGGAAGGGCAGACAGTCTTGATCGATATGCTCCCAAACCAGGAAGCTACTATCCTGGGAGGGGACCAAAGCAGTAAATTTCTTGTGTTAAGCTAATTTTGCAGAATTACCTAGAGGACGGATAAGAAACTTAATGTCTCATCAAAGATAATTGAGACCATGTAACAAGCCCACATACCTAGCCCTTTGTCACATTCCTGAAAAAAAATCCTTAAAAGGGGAAACCCCCAACCTTTCAGGGTGCTTCTTTCTCTCTGAGGTCGCCTGCACTTCCTAAGTAACTTTAAATAAAACTTTTTCTCCGCTTCACTACTGTGTCTCTGCCTTTCAATTCTTTGTTGCGGTAGGGACAAGACCGGAGGAAAATACACAACGCTCTCCCTAGCAAAAATCAAGGGCCAACCACCCAGTACACAATGAAAATAGAAGCTCAGTCACAGGTAGGTATGGTTCTTGGGCTTAAAATGTTCAACGTCTGAACATTACAGTAAGTGGGGGCAAGGGCCAGAATTGTGATTCCTTTGTGAGCTGCATTTATACTTACGTTTGCAATATGAAAGGTCTGGGTGAAGATAGAATAAAGCCCCTTCTTAAGACAGAGAAACCTGGGTTTTGTTGTTACACCCCACTTCTTGGCTGAGTGAACTAGAGCAACCCAAATAATATACCTGAGCCATCGATTTTCTTCTTTAAATGGGGATAAAAATAATACCTTATCTGTTTTGAAGGCACACCATCAAAATGGATAACCTCTTGGGGAGATTTATAGGTCTAAAACTGATGAGCCTACAGATCCACAAATTTTACTTAGCTTAGGCAGGCGCAATCGTAACCTATTACACAATGACACTGTGACCTCCTGACCAGGTCTCAGCTACTTTCTAATGACTGAGCTAGAGAGATATGTAGATTAATCTCTGAATGACACTGTGACCTCCTGACTAGTAACCAGATGACAGCTACTTTATAAGTACTGAGCTAGAGATATGTAGATAAATCTCTGAAGATGACTTACCAAAAATATTCTTTACTCCCTGCTTTTCCACAAGATAATCCACATACTGACCAATTACCGAAAAGTTGATTTCTCTAAAAGGCACAGGAAAAAAATGGAGAAAATTCATATTTGGTCTTTTTTAGATTATTATCTTACCAATCCCCAGATCTACAAACTGGTCTTTTTTGTTAATGGTTATTAAAAATTCACCTAGCCAGTTTGTGAAATTCTTAGCTTGCTCTAAATAATGCCTGGGTTGTCTCTTTTCTGAGTGGGGTGATTGCTCTATTCATCCATGGATACCTCACTTACGTGAACAAAACGCTATATTTTCCAACAAAAGTGTTATATTTAAACTGCGTCACAAGTAATATTTAAAAAGTAGTTATTTAGTCATTCGACCTTTTTGGGAAGAGTGATGATTGGGAGCATGGTTAAATAAAAACTTAACATTTTCTACTTGGCAAGAAGCAATCATTTTTTAGTCTTTCAGGAAAGGAAAATTTGGTCTTTATAATTTAAGAATTTTAGCTCTTAATATCTGTGACAACAAATTAAGATTTAAATTGTATTTGCTAATTTTAAACTGAGGAGGATTAATAGTTGGGAAGGAACTTTGCCTCCCAAAGCACCATCTGCAGAACAGCAGCAAAGGCATCTAGAGGAACTTGCTAGAAATGTAACAAGATCCCTCTGTGATCTGCCTGCACTTTGCATTTTGAAGAGCAATGGCCTAAGAATCTGACGCTTCTTAAGGCAATAAGGGCTCTTTTCTTTAAATGCACATCAATTTTAAAATTCTAGAAACTGATCACATCAATCATATAAAGTGACTTGTTCTCAATTAAAATGCAGGTGGGGAGGATGGGGGATGGAGAGTGAAAATACCAAGGAAAGCCATGCAACACGTCTGCATTAACTTGTTGCAGAACCCTTGGTTACATCATACATCACAAAGAACAGGAAGTACTAATTGACTTTATTTGCCTTTTTATCAATGCACCCACCCCTGAGAATCCTAATTTAATTTTAACCTTATTAACATTCTTTTCTTCTGTACTTACTGTATTCCTTAAAAACCAAAAAATCTGATGCATGCAGAAAATAAAGACATTAAAGGGTATTTGTCAAAGGGAACAGGAACAATAGAAATAAATAAAAGAATGGCCAGGCAATCACTGCCCACACAAAAGGTGTGCTTTCCTGTAGTTGGAACGCTAAGGGGAGCGGACTCCCTCCTTGTGGCTCAGGTCAGTATCATAACATTGCCTCTCCTGGCTGCACTGGTTCAAATACTAAATCTCGGCCTCTTAAGTTTTGCTGAGCAGGGAGGCTTCCTGAATGCAAGGAAGGTATGAATGAATCTAGATTATTCTCGCTTATACACAGAATGGGAGAGTTAGCTGCTTAGACAATCTATTTCAAGATCCTCATTTAAGTCAGCTTGACCTGCTCAACTTCTTGAAATCTCTTGCCTCAGACATTTCTGACCCCTTGGACCTGTATCTTTACAATATACCTGCTTCTTGCTGCTTCCGTCAGCTTGTCAGCTCTTCCCCATTTGGGATAAACTCTGAGATGCAGGAACAATTAGCAGGGGCTTTGTTTGCGTGACACTAACTCTGATTTTGACCAATGATGTCTATTGAACTCATGCAAGCAACCTGGAAAGAGCTCCAGCAAATCCAGGGCTCCCACATCACACGCTGGAAATTGGAAATAAACTCACTGGGTAATAGCCTGAATTGGATTCAAATGTAGTGCCTCCTGTACACATTTACTGAAGTCTTGCCACCTGCCCAGTCCCATCCTGGCCATGAACTCAGACACCAAAAACAGGCTTGACTCTTTAACCAGAAGAGTCTATAGAGCTCCAGATAGTCAAGGACTGGTAGGCACTGTATTCACATTGATGTGCATTCTTTTGTTTAATCTAATGCTTTCTCATTTGGAAAGGGAAGCTGGAGGGCTTGTTTCTATTTTCAGAAATCCTTAGAGAAACAGACTTAGTCTGTCAGGATATATGTTTGGGTCCCCAAAGTGGACTCCTAGTGGGGACCCCCACCACCAACTGGGCCTCTAACAGCTGGTCCAGCACAAGTGCTTAGCACTATACCTGATTCTAATCAAATGCTCAATCATTAATTGCTGCTATTATTCCTCAGTGGCAAAAACCGGAAATAACTGACACCCTTAGCAAAGTTCACGTCTATTATTATGAACATCATTTTGAAAATTGCTTGTCTGGCCTCCAGGCTGGAGAGAGCACTTCCTGAAGGCAGGAACTGTGCTTTTTATACTTTGCAATCCCTAGCCTGCACCTGGCACAGTGCTGATGCTCAACAAAGGCAGGTGCAGGAGTCATGAGGAGCAGCTTACGGTGATAATGGAATACCCATGGCTCTCTGCCTTCAACGCAGCCTATCCCCATGCTGTCAGGGTGTGTTTAGATTTCACTATGATACTGAGTAAAGGAGATGGCCTGCTGTATGTAAATAAAGTATTGAGGAAAATACGAAGGCTATGACTGAGTTAAAAAGTGTATAGGGGTTCAGAAGAGCGGCTAATAATCCCAATTAGGGAGGCTGGGAAGGCGACTTCAAGGAGGTGGATCTGGAATGATAAATAAGAAATCATATTTTCTTTGCCTCTGACATTCTGGAAAGTTGCTATTTGTCTGACTCTATTCTGGTATCCTTTCTAGGTAGCTGGCTGCACTGAAGCAGATCTAGAGCAGTATGTGAATTCCATGGCTCCTCCATGACACCATTTCATAGCTTCAGTGGGTAAAGCTTGTCTATACTCACCCTCTCTCCTCCCACTCCTTTAGGCCTGCTGGATGACAGCTATGACAATTTCACATAGGTTATGGGTACTTCTTATAAAATGCCCCGAGCCTAGAGGAGTGACACTTATGGAATTTCAGGGATAGTGGCAGAGTCACCCAAAATGTCTTTGGACTTATGGCCTTTGGAACTACCAAATCCCCTTAGAGAGATCAGAGTTTGAGAAGGCATGGCTCCTAAATGTATTATTTGACTTTCACAATGTTAACATTTCTTTCCATGTTAAAAAAAAAAGACTTTATTTGAAAAGCCAGCAGATCTAACAAGGCCAGGCCTCCATTTCCATACAGCATCACCTGGCTAGGAAGAGCACTGGCTGTCCTCTGGAGGCACAGAAGCCCCACAGAGTCCCCAGGTATTTCAGATCCTTGCCTGACTGGCAGTGTGAGTTTGCAGCCCTTGGCAGAGGTGCTCAATGGATGCAGTCACAAGTGAGCCCAGTGAAATCACGAGAGCTGTTACCCTATTTGTCTCAGAAGCATCCCAAACAGCAGGGATAGGGTGGCAGCTGGATGACAACCTCTGTGGACACTTTGCTCCCTTCCCTATTTTCCCACCCCACTCTACCTCCCCAGGTATGAGGGTTTCTGTCCACTGCAGCAGGCACTGTCAGTTACCAGGAAGTCACCAGAGAGAATGGAAACAATGTGACTGGATTATTCCTCTCTCCACTGGCTGACTGTTGTGTGCTTGTTGCTCATGGAAGCAAGACGAGGCACAAGCCAGTTTGCTTGAAAAGGTGGTACTGGCTTTCTGTTTGTTGAATTCTTTTCCTGTGAGCCTAAAAACACATCTAACCATGACCACCTCAGGGAAGAGTGGCCCAGAACCACATTCCATACTTACTGTAGTCATTCCTGTACACCACTCCAATTTAATGTCTTAATTTCAGTTTTCATGGGCTCAGATTCTTTGCCTTAGGGTCATTATTTTTTTTTAATAAAAGCACTTAACTTTTTTTCATATTACAGACTCTAGTTTATTTTAGAAAGCACACAGAAGGGGGGAGAAACGCCACTCAGTAGCTCCTTACTAACAGAGATTATGGTTCTTATGTTTATTTTTCTATTCACAAATACACAATATAGTATTTTCTTAGGTAAATATAGTTATATTGCTCAAAGTATTATATTTTTTTCACTTAGCATGTCACATGGAGTATTTTTCCACCTCCTTCTGATATTGTGACCATACTGGTTACCCAGCATTTCACTGTATGGATGGCAGTAGTTCATTTAGCTAATCCTCTAATTAATGGATGCTTATGTCCAAGCTATGTAAGAGGAAGGAGCATTTATAAAACTATTTTTGCCTCGATTTGAGGCTCTGAGTGAGTGAACTGTGAAAGTGTATGTAGACTCTATCTCTTCTCTTAAAGAGTGTAAAGCTAATAGGATTTTTCTGGAGCGGTTTACAGAGAAAAATCCCTACTGCTGTTCATTTCCTCTCCCGGTGCACAACACGCAGTGAAAGACTTTCATTTTATTTGAGAATACAGATCAACAGGGCAGGCATGATCTGGCATGCATATCAGAAAATCTAATGTTCTATTCTTTTTGCCTTTTATACATAATTCTCAGCAATCAAAATCAGATGGAATTTATGTGTGCTTTTGCAAAATAACTACTTGGCTACTTCAAAACTCCTTCGGCAGAAAAGCCTTCAGGGTCTGTAACTGCCCCATCTTGCCAGCAGACAACATTCTGGTCTGGGAATCTGGGTCATTTAGTCTCCCAACAATTAAAAAGACGCTAATCTATACAACTCCCACTCCAGCAGTCCAGGCCCTTTCTGACTAGGTTAACAGATTTGTTTTTACAGAGGGTGTTGATAGGGACATGACTGGATTGATTTAGGAGGAAGCTCACTGGGCTACAGAATGGAGGACTCGCAGGAGCTGCAGGTACTTTAAGCATTCTTACTTAATGGGGACCATCACAATATCCCTCTTGACATAGAACCAGGAAGGCAGGCTCTTAGAATTTGAGTGGGTGTTACAGACAATGCAATTGAATTCTCCCTTTACAGATTATGAAAGAAAACTTTAAAAGGTGACAAGACCTCCCCAGGGTCAGACAGCTAGCTGGTGGGAAAGCTGCGCGTCAAGAACCCAGATACTCTTAAGATTCAGTTAACCATGTTCTTTCTGCCAACTTCCCTACTCCAAAACATCAATTTATATTCAAAGTTGAATCATTACTGAGTGTTTCTTGGAGTTCTGAAGAAAAAAGGAAACAGGGAATAGTTCTTGTTCAGCCATTCTGAATTATGGGGTCCATGGTTTACTAGATGAGCCAGGTTAGGAAAACTCCCTTGATAGCAGGTCACCAGGCAGAATTTTTTTTTTAACAGTTTGATAATTAAAAATTTATTTTCTTTTACATATCAAGTGGTACTTTCTTTCTCCACATGTTTTTTTTTTTTTGAGAGGGCATCTCTCATATTTATTGATCAAATGGTTGTTTACAACAATAAAATTCTGTATAGGGGACTCAATGCACAATCATTAATCAACCCCAAGCCTAATTCTCAACAGTCTCCAATCTTCTGAAGCATAACGAACAAGTTCTTACATGGTGAACAAGTTCTTACATAGTGAATAAGTTTTTACATGGTGAACAGTGCAAGGGCAGTCATATCACAGAAACTTTCAGTTTTGATCACACATCATGAACTATAAATAAGTCAGATATGATTATTTGTTTGATTTTTATACTTGATTTATATGTGAATCCTACATTTCTCCCTTATTATTATTTTTTTTAAATAAAATGCTGAAGTGGTAGGTAGATGCAAGATAAAGATAGAAAACATAATTTAGTGCTGTAAGAGGGCAAATGTAGATGATCAGGTCTGTGCCTATAGACTAAGTATTAATCCAAGCTAGACAAGGGCAACAAAACATACCAGGCAGAATTTGAGGTATCAGATTCCATCTGTCTCTTGGAAACATGTCACAAGTACGGATTCCCTTGTGGGCAAGTAGGCTAATGCCCACCTGCTCTTGGTGGGTGGTCCAAACCTTTTTTATACTTATAGGAATGTGTGGATGGAGCAGATAGTGGGAGAAAAGGGAACTAACACAGCTTACGTGCCTACTATGTGCTGTGTACTGACACACATTTTAACTTAACTTAATCCTTACAAGGCCTGTGCAAAAAATGCATTCTTATTTTGATTTCACACCTCAGGTAAGTGAGGGTCCGAGAAGAGAAAAGAACTGATGAAAAAAGGAGAAAATAATGAAATGGAGGTAGCAGGGCTAGAGGGATTTGGGAAATGGAGAAGGAGGCAGGATCATTTCAGTTATCTCCAATACATAGGACCTGGTGTCCCAGGAAAACTGCAGAACAGGACGAACATTATTGACACACTCAGTAGTCCCAAATGAACAAATAAGACTGCTTTAAGAAGCCACTTCTAGGCTAAGACTGGTCTGAGCATAAAGGTTAAACTACAATCACCCAGATGCAGTGTTCTGAGCTTGCAAACAAGATCTTACTCAATAGCAGGAAGTGAATTCTGCCTGCTCATGTGACGTCTTCTGTTTTTCTGACCAACAAGTGGATAACATTGAAAAAGAGCTGATTTCAGTCTTAGAACTTGGGGGAAAAAAAATGCCATTAACTACTGAATAATTTATGCCATCTCAGCAAAAATTTTATCTAGACCTAGTAAAGATGTTATTTTTCATGAATCTTAGAAGCTGGAAGTCTTGAACTCTATTGATCCACGGGAAAATTGTGATACAGCCAACTCTGAATGGGAATACTAAAAGTCATAGGAAATCTCATCTACTTTAAAGGGGTAGGGTTAAGGTTTACACATTTAGCAACAAAAGGTTAAAAATTAAAAGCCTTAAAGATATCTTAATAGCTTGCCTTCTGGTTATCCCTATCTTAAGCCACAATAGCAGCTCAGATGTATTGACCCAAGTGCATTCTGGCTCTGTGCCAAGCAATATCATATGCATGACTAATTTTAACACTCATAACTCCATGATGCATGCACGATTATTATGGCTTAAAGAAGCCAGAATTCTGACTGTTTTAGCACACTGACTTCTCTTAGTAGGTCAAAAACATTTAGATCCAGGAGGTAGGTGATCTCCTTTTTGCTAAAGGCAATATCCAGGGAGAAGTCATATAGTACACATGGACACCAACGGCCCATGACCAGCACGTCTGATAGCACAAGCACGGGGACTGCCGTGATACCCATCTGGAGTCAAAATACTTGCTTCAGTGATGATTTCTCAGCAATTATCTGTTGTTACCTCCCATTCCTGCAAGCTCCCCAACATTCAGCCAATGATGAAATAAGACTATAAACATGCCTGCAGCTATGCCCCCCACGTCCCTCAGGGTAGGACGTTTTCATCACATCTGTGAACAGCCTGAGGAGGAATCACACAGACATTGAGAGACAGGATCTGGAGGTGGCCAGGCCAGGGCTTAATGTCAAATCCTACAAAATGAGATTCTCCTTATCCAACTCCACTGGTCTTATTTAGGAAAGCCAGGGCTCCAATGAATCCAAGAATTTGATTTCTGGAGCTACAGACACTGGGACAAAGGCAAGCTGCCATATCTTACCTTCTCTTTTTCTATACTGTTTGTGATACAGAGACCTCTTCTCTGACTTAGAGGTGACATTTGGCAACAGCACCACAACAGTGCAGACATTAAGTGACAAAGTTATTATAGAGAACTTCTGTCCATTTTGGTGGCGTGAAAACAGATCTCTTTAGGTCCCAAATGATAGTTACCCATGCTCAGTCATCGGTGTGATGGTTGCAGCGACAAGACCTTGAAGTTTCTTCTTTGGGGAGGCCATTGAGCTGCTGAAAAGAGTCTGGAAAAACAGATGATGTAATTCCTCTCCTTCTTCAAGGAAAATCAGTTAATGATATAACTCCCAGGCAAAGTCCTTTCCCAGTTTAGAACTGTGAAAAATGTTTACAAGTACACAAATGCACAGAGCAAGTAAGAAGAATCTCACCTAAAACCAGCACTACGGTCTTCAGGCTTCAGTATGATCTGCATGACCATCTTCAGGTTTACCTAACTATCCTTTCATATTCTCATTTTGACCAGTTTTTCTGTTTTCCTAGCTCTAGTAAACCACATAAACTGTACCACAATTATTTATTTGCCCATCCTCCAGGCTTCCCAGGACAGGGAATGTATTTTGTTTGCCTTTGCTTCCCCTGCACTGGGTGTTCTGTTACAAAGTAATGAATACAAGGGTGACTGAATATGAAGTGTTCAGATTTTAGATGGATGATGCCTTCCATAGCAGGGAAGTCCGCGGAGAGTCAACCTGACCCCACTCATTTGGGCAAAAACATACTTCACCATCTGGCACAGACTGTACCTGTCTATAACCAGTGTAAACAAGCCAACAAGTTGTCCAAAACAGGCAACAGCGCACCCTGATTATTAGCCCGAATTCTGCAGGCAGACTAACTGGTTCAATTCCCAGTTCTACAACTTAGTAGTTATAGACTGTTCTTTTTCAAGCTGTAAGACATAAAAATTGGAAGCCACAAATGCAAAGTCTAACAATTTCAGAAGAAAGTAAACTATAATCAGATAGCATTTGGTGACAATTATACAAAAGTTGTTTGTCTTAGAGCAAACACTGTGATGATTATAGGTGATGAACAAGATGGGCTAAATTATAGTTCTGAGGTCATTGGCACATTAAAATGCCAATGCCCTCTATACTTAAATTTGGCTCACATAAGTCATAATTATGAACTGTCTCACTGTGTTCGCTCTTTATAACGCTTTATCTCATCTTCCCAAATAGGAGTATAAATTTACAGAGTACAGAGATCGTATATTCTACTTTTTCTCTATCCCCTAAGAGTCCTGGCTTAGGGGAGCCGCTAAAGCCAGAAAGAGAACAAAACAAGGACAAAAACATGAAAGGGTACAGTACGGCAAAACTTACTGCTTTTGTTTATGATACTTCCCCTTGTATACTTCCCCCCTAGCAAGACTCGCTCCTGCAATTAAGCTCAAATCCTTCAAGCAGCTTTGCTGTGCAATGCAGGGTGATAAAGAGGAACCTTACCCAATATTAACATAAAGGATTTCTCTGACTTTTCCTAATTTGAAGAGGAAACTAAAATCCTGTTGACAGTTTTGATCATTATAATCGCCTGGCCCATATGGAAAACACAAAGCAGATATAATATGCCTTGTCTACCTTAGAGGAATGTCTAAACATCAAATGAGAACTGACGCTATTATGCCTGCTGTCTATTCTCACCTGGCACTCTTGCAAGCATCTCAACTCCAGATCCCCCAAGATGAAGCTGTTACCTCGTCCACTAAACAATTTCTTCCTTTGTTCCTTACCATAGAGGGGTGAGAGTGCCCGCTCTAGAGTCAGACTTCATGGGTCTGCGTCCTGGCTCCACCACTCACTAGCTGGGTGACCTTGGGACTGTTATTTTACTTCTCCGTGTTCCACTTTCCCTTCCGTAAATGCAGGTAATAGTAGTCACATTTCATAGGGTTGTTGAGAATTAAACAAATCAATTCTTGTAAAGTGATGACCAATAGTGCCAGGCACACAGTTAAGTCCAAGTTTGGCCCCCTCCATGAAGTCCTGTCTGATGGCTACTGGACGTTAGCAGGTATTACGTCTGTACCAGCACCTCTGTCCTGTCATCGCAGCTCCACTGCTATCTCCTCCCAACCCTCACTATTCTCGTCAGTCAGGGCCCACATCATTTCAAATCTGTTATCCTCTTTCCCTGCATACTTCCCTTCCCATTTACTGCCCCTTTTACAACTTTCCTTTGTTACCTCTTTTCTAGACCAATGTGCACAGCCCCAGACCCAAGGGGCCCAGTGGGGCTCAAGAAGGTTCAAGTGGTAAGAGTCTCAAGAGCCAGGTTCAGCATTAAAAGTGTCCTAAATTGAACATTGCTAGGCTGTTCATACAGACTTCCACATTCTTGTGCTTTTAGCTGCTTTTATTTCACATTTAGGGCAGTTGCACTGATATTTTTCAGGTGGTCTAAAGCTTGGACTGGCTGTTTTATTTAAGTCTTTGACTGAAAACAAATTAAGGGCACTAAATGCAGTTTGATGGGCTACAAAATCCAAAACATGGGGCCTGTAGAGGTGTGGGATGGGAGCTGGGAATCACTGTCCTCATCCCCACTCTCCTGTCCTTCAGTTCTCACAGGCTGCCAGACTAACTTCCCAGCAGCAGACATTTCTGATCTTGTCCTTGGCTCACACATTCACAGGTGCCCCTGCCTCCCTGACCTTGTCTGGCCTGCCAGCCTTTCTCCTGTGGCTCTCCCACCAGGAACGACATTATTTCCCACTTCAGTCTAGCCAACTTTTAAAACTCACTCAAAAAGCTGGAGAACATTCCCTGATCCCCACCCAAGACGAAAATAATTTCTTACTCCTCAGAATTCCCTCAAATACTTGCTTTTTATTAAGAACTTTACATCACAGTTATTAGCAGGGTAATTTTGGCTCCTCTTCTACAGCGTAAGCCATCAAGAGGGCAGGAAAAGCTTCAAAAATCCAACTTTGCATAGAGCAGTTCACTAAATAAGTGAGCCAAGTTTGCTGACTTTGTGAACTGCGCAAGTCCTACAGGAAGAGAGGGGGTAAAAGATCAAAACTGTAATGGAGAACGATCCATATTTTGTGTAAATTCAGGTTTTAAATAAACTTCGAAATGTTATGCTTTCAAATTCTTCATAGCTTGTATCAAAAGCAAGTGGTTAGAATGTTCTCCAGCCAAGGCTTAACATGTATTAAGAATGTTGTTACTGAAACCTGGAGAGGGGCTATTACTTTTGAAATCTTATACCTCCATCCACAGACAAGAACACAGTGCAAAGAATTCAGGTTGCCTAAGTCACATTTTCGTAAAAGGGAGGTTTCAAAGGACAAATACAAAATATTAAAAAATCTTTGGGGGAGAAGAGGATGAAGCTTTGCACATGTAGAATGAGTTGAGAGAGAAATACGTGGACAAAGAAACAGAGAAACTAAACACACAAAAACAAAACATAAACAGAACCAACTGCCCATAGAACGAAGGGATTGTATCCAATTTAATCGCTAAACTCTCTTCTACTAGATCGCTGGTTCAGGTCCTTTTGAGAAAAGGATCCTGACAGGCAGGCTACCGGGTCTGGAGAGAGCCCAGGGGGGCCTCCCACCAGAGCCCAGGGCCCCCTCCCCCGTCGGTCCGGACACTTGCACCAGGCCGGAGGCTGTCGCATTCACACTTCCTCAAGTCCCGCTTCCCTGCTCGTCCGCCTTCCCTTTTCCCGGGCGGTCACCGGCTCGCCCACCCGAGGCCCGGCCCCCGCGTCCCTCCGCCCGAACCCCCGGAGGTCGGCCGCTCCGCGTCCGTCGGTCCACGCCGGCGCGGGCGCGCTCACCCGAAAGGCAGGGGTCGGTTTCCGTCGCCTGGGCAGCCGCCGCCGCCGCCGCCGCCGCTCGCGCTGCCGCCGCCGCCGCTCGCGCCACTTGCCCGCCACGCCCCGCGGCCCTGGGGCTTGTGGCCCCGCCCCTCTGCCCGCCGCGCTCCCGGCGTCCCGAGATGCTCTGCGCACGTGCGTTTTTACCCTCCGAGTTACGCCACCCAAGTGGGCTGGAGGGACTGGGCGCGCCGTTCCCCGGCTCCCGAGAGTGGCAGGCATTGGAACGTGGGGCTCAGGGCCTGGGAGCGCCTGCTCACCTGCGCCTCGACTGCTCCCCAGTTCACCCCTCCTAAATTTCTCCCTCTTCTGCTCCTCCAGTCCTCACGCGTGCGGACGCTTCTCGGGGTTCCTTGTATCATACCTTTCCTTATGTTAGGGTCGTGGAACAACAGTTATTTTGTGGTTCTGGGTTTTGAAATTTGGCCTGAAGCACGCCGGGGCCACTGCCTATCAGGGATTCGTGCTCTTCAGGCTGGTACAGCTGCCCCAGCCTGGCACACTCTCTTGTTAAGAGATGAACGGAGATTAAAAGCGAATTAGTTATTCTGGAGGGCAGTTCGAAGAGTTTCGAAAGAGAAGAGTATTTTTTTTTAACCAAAATACCTCTACTTGCAGGAATCCCAACTTTATTTTTTAAAATGTTTTGTCAATAAATCAAACACAGTTGTAAACAAGTCCTCAGCTTTCTCTTACTGATGTGATTTTTTTTCAATTTTCCATAACAGGGAATGGCTATTTTATTTAGATAAATTTTCCAAGACTTCCTGGCTTGCAAAGTAAAGCATCTGTTATAATAGTAATAGGATTCATTATGTCATATATCCACTACTATAATTCTTTCATTGCACAAAGCACCAGAAATGAATCATAAAACAATCCTATGTGGTGGGTACTACTTTTTAAATTTATGTATTACAGATGAAGAAGTATCATTCCTTTTCACAGATCAGAAATAGAGGTTTAAAGAGTTCAAGTGATTTGCCAAAGGCTATAGCGCCAGCGAGTGGTTGAGCTGTGATTTGACTTCAAGTAGTCTGGGAGCTGATAACTTTTAACCACTGCTTACATTATCCTGCCAAAAAAGGAAAGAAGAGTCCTAGTTACATCTGTCTGTTAATAAGAATATTATATCCCAATGGGAAAATGTTGGTAATTTTTTTTCAGTCGCTTTAATATATGCAAAGTTAAGTATTTCAGACCTAAAATGTGTAGGTTATTAGCTTTATGGTCAACCACTAAACCAGTGTTCTAAATGCATAAACTATGGTTTATACAAATATGGTAGCATAAAACTATTCCTTATAATAATGTGAGAATTCCTTATAATAATCTGAGAAGCAGATGCTAAAATGGGATTTGATGTGCCGGAGACTTATTTGATGTTCGGGATGGGAGCCTGAGCAGGCAAGGAGAGCTTTCAGATATCATGCAGGTCTAACACTTGTGGGGGGAGAGATGAAAAGAAAGAGGGCAGGAATAGGAGTCTCACTGGAATGGTGGGGGGCTCATCACAGTATCCGTTATATGTCTTTCAGAATGCACAGCCACTACAGTGAATTGTGGGAAAGGCATTTATCTTTAAAAGTATATAGACCTATGCAAAGATACCAGATGGGTGTCCTACAATTTAACTCAATTCTGACACTTTCTACCCAGAGGTGGATCAGGCTCCACAGGTTAAGGGCTTAGTTCTGTAAGAATGCCATCCCCATGCCACCCCTACTTCAGACACCTCATCAGAACCAGGCATTACCTGTACTTCTGACCAGCTGGCTATAAAACAGAGGTTCCCATGGCCCCATCCTTGGATTCTATTAATTTGCTAGAGCAGCTCACAGAACTCAGAGAAACATGTTACTCCTAGATCACCAGTTTATCATAACAGGATATAACTCAGGAATAGCCAGGTGGAAGAGACGCATGGGCAGTGTATGGGGAAAGGGTGCAGAGCTCCCGTGTTCTCTCCTAGCTTGAGTGTGCCACTTTCCCCAAATTTCCATGTGTTCACTGACCTGGAAGCTCCCTGAAACCTGACCGTTTGCGTTTTTATGGAGGCTTCATTACATAGGCATGACTGATTAACTCATTGGTCACTGGTGATTATTCAACTTCTAGCCTCTTCTTCCTCCCTGGAGGTTGGGGGATTGGGACTGGAAGTTCTAACCTTCTAATAACAGGGTTGGTTCTCAGGGCAACCAGCCCCATGCAGAGTTGCTCTCCAAAGGCCCCTCATTAACACAATGAGAAATACGTTTATCGCTGTCATCACAGGACATTCCAAAGGTTCTAGGAGCTCTGGGCCAGAAACAGGAGGAAGACCAAATAAGTATTTCTTGTTGTAAATCACAATGTCACCACTGCCCTTACCAGGAAAGAGAATGGATTTTAATCACCCAAAATACTGCTACTTGGGGAACATCTATGAAGGGAGGAGATTATAAGTTGGATCCTGAAGTGTTGCTCTGGACCAGAAAAAGATCTGTCCATAGATGAGCAGAGTCCCTTCCATTCAGTGTAAAGAACATCTAACCCGATTACAGGTATGAGAATTACCGGCTGTAATTCTGGCTGTGTGGGTATGTCAGTCAGTGGGGCTGGTGGAAAAGCTGGAGCTCATTTTTGCATCAAAGTGCAGAGGTCTTCAGAGTGGGGACCAGGCTATGAGTAGAAGTTGTACCACTTGCTGGGCTCCAAAGTCTTTTCCTGTTTAGGGGTTATCTTCTGAAGTTGAGCGCCAACAAGTAGAAGATGCTCTTGAGAGGAGAAATGTCCTGTCCATAAGATTGGTTTCAGAGAACACACTGAGTTCCAGGAAGGGACTGTTTTGAGAGCAGTAGAGTTCAATCATGCTCAATTGTCTCTGGCTCAGCCCTTTGGTGAACCCACACTGGGTTCCTAGCAGAAGAAGCTCAAAGGAAAAACTGAATTGAACAGAAAATGCACTTCCATATTTGGCATTCTTAATGTAGAATCTGTTACTCCAGATTTCTTTTTAAAATAACAGCTTTATTAAGATTAATTCAAAACTATCCACCTACTATTCACCTAATTATACATTTACAATTCCCTATTTTACAATTAACCATTTTAAGCATACAATAGTTCAATAGTCTTTACTATATTCACAGAGTTGTGTAACCATCACCATAATCAATTTTAGAACATTTTTGTCAACTGCCAACACCTGTACCCATTAGCAATCCCTTCCCACTCCCTTTTCCCCCACTCTCAGCCCTAAGTAATCACTAATCTTTGTGTTTCTATACATTTGCCTATTCTTAACATTTCATATAAATGGAATCATACATTATGTGGTCTTTTGTGTCTGGCTTCTTTCCCTTAACATAATGTTCTCAAGGTTCATCCACATTAGAGCATGTATCTGTACTTTGTTCCTTTTTATGGCCAAATAATATTCTATTGTATGGGTACATCACATTTTATTATTAATTCATCAGTTGATGGATATTTTAGTTGCTTCCAGTTTGGGACTATTATGAATAATGCTACTATTATACCTGCAGATATTAAACCTCCTGGAATTTTGTAGTATCTTTTTCCAATGGAGTGAGTTTAGAGTATTCTGTCCTCTCCCAGTTCCTCAGAACCCCCAAGTCCTTACCAATATCAGGGGCTTTTACACATGCTCAGGATGCTCTTCATCTGGCTGACTTCTACTCATCCTTCAGATCATGGCTGAAGTGTCACCCTCCTAAGAGTTTACTTCATCAGATCCTCCCAATCTAGGTGACGTCCCCTTCCTCATATCCAGTGCTTTCTCTCCCTACCATAACTTACAAGTGTGTTTTTTTCTGCTCATTAGTTTGTAAGTCTCACGAGGACAGTGATCTGTGTGTTCTGTTCCCTGGGACACATATAGTGCCTGCCAGAGTAAGCACTCAAATAGCAAAGGTAGTATGAAATGAAGAATGATGGGATAACTGAGAGCAGTATGCTAGCTCTGTGGCTTGAACACAGACTTTTTCACTGATGGGAGGAGGGTGCCTCCTTGTTGACTGGTGTTGATGCAACAGTAGGGATCCTGTGGCCAAGAGGGATGGTGTCAGCACAGAGAATGGGAAACGGGAGCACTGATGACACAGGAGCAGAACAAAATGGACTGTAATGCATCTTTGAGAACTAGGAGTGATTCCTGGTGTGGATTAAATCTGGGGACTATTGCCTCTTGCTGCTTTGAGGCCCTTTTTCTGAATTGTATCTCTGGACTGATACACCAGTGGTTGCATAGATTGATTTGTTACTCCCTAAGGATTGGAAACTCTTTTGAAAAACTGTTCCTGGTCTTACCACTAGCAAGAGGAATTACGAGGGTGCTGTAAGTCAAAAAGAAAAGAGAAAGTTAATAATATTAACTTTGCTTGGCAGAGCCTTCTTTGACAATATTCAAATAATTACAGAGGCAAAACTTCCTTTGAAGCATGTTTAGTCTGTGTTAACTATTGTCTACATGAACATTAGGTCTTTGGGAAACACACAAATGAGTCTTCTACTTGCGACAATACTTTAAAAGTTTCCTCAGGAGTTCAACCATTGTGGAAAGCAGTATGGAGGTTCCTCAAAAAGCTCAAAATAGAAATACCATTTGACCCAGGAATTCCACTTCTAGGAATTTACCCTAAGAATGCAGCAGCCCAATTTGAAAAAGACAGATGCACCCCTATGTTTATCGCAGCACTATTTACAATAGCCAAGAAATGGAAGCAACCTAAAGTGTCCATCAGTAAATGAATGGATAAAGAAGATGTGTTACATATACACAATGGAATATTATTCAGCCATAAGAAGAAAACAAATCCTACCATTTGCAACAACATGGATGGAGCTAGAGGGTATTAAGCTCAGTGAAATAAGCCAGGCGGAGAAAGACAAGTACCAAATGATTTCACTCATATGTGGAGTATAAGAACAAAGAAAAACTGAAGGAACAAAACAGCAGCAGAATCACAGAACCCAAGAATGGACTAACAGTTACCAAAGGGAAAGGGACTGGGTAGGATGAGTGGGAAAGGAGGGATAAGA